ATCAGTCAATAGAAACATTCAAAATTATAGAGATTATAGAATTAGCAGGAAATAACAGCTATTTTAAAAATACTGAAAGTTTAAAGAAAAGCACAAACATAATGGGGAGTAATGGAAGACATGAGTTTGGAGTTGCTATATTAATGTCAAATAAAATGGGCATCAAGACAAAGAGTATTAGTAAAGAGGGATTTTTCATGGTTAATCAATGAAATAAGATGACATGACTATCATAAGCATAAATGCTTGTATATCCAAAAGTAGAACTTCAGTATACATGAAACCAAACTTGAGAGAATTTGCAAGAGGAATAGGCAAGTCTATAATCATCACTAGATATTTAAACATCTCTCAACACTTGATAGAATGGAGGAAAATAAGTAAAGACATACATGATTTATTTGAACAACACTTAAATAAATTTTTTAAGTTATATTTGTGGAAGAATACACCAACGAAGTGCAGAATTCATATTCTTGTTACTTGAGTATAATGAAGAATTAAGATAGACCACATGCTAGCCTGCCTCGTATTTAGTTTTAAACTGCTGGTCTTGCCCTAGCTGGTTTGGTTCAGTGGATAGAGCATCGGCCTTCAGACTGAAGGGTCCTGTGCTCAATTCCAGTCAAGGGCACATGCCTGGGTTGTGGGCTCGATCCCCATTAGGGGGCATGCAGGAGGCAGCCAATGAATGATTCTCTCTCATCATTGATGTTTCTATCTCTCCCTCTCCCTCTCCCTCTCCCTCTCCCTCTCTGAAATCAATAAAAAAATATATTTTTTAAAAACTTCTGGTCTTTAATTAAAGTAAATATAAATGGAACTGTCACTACTATTCACTCACCAGAGAGCCAACTCAGTTCTGTTATAATAGTACCATCTCTCCAACCACCCAATGTCCTCATTTCCACTTAGGAGTTTCCATTGACCTGATTAAGGACTAGTTTTCTGATTCTAAGGGTGAAATTCAGAGCAAGGATTCCTCTGGATGAGTCATGTCTGACATGAATAGTGCACAGACACTGGGTGAAGGCCTAGGCCTCTCAGTGAGACAGCCTGGGTCAGGACTCCGGCTAAGCCAGCCCTGTTGGGACCGTTCCACTCACATTAGTCAAAAAAAAGTCTGTTATTGTCTGTCAGGTTTTCTTTTACTTGCACCAAGAAGCAACATAAATGATACAGAAGGATTATTACCAAATATCATAGTAGCAGTCTAAGAAAGTATAAAGGAAAAATTCAGAGCAACTTTTCAAACTTCATAAGTAAAATATGTATACACTATCATATATGAGGAAATAAAGCAATAGATTTACATCATTTTCTAGGTATATGTCATTTTTCCTATTAGATAATGAATAGTAAACATTTTTACAGTAGCAGGTTGGAAAATTAAAAGGAGAATGTACAAAAGAAGATATACCAACTTGCATAAATGACAGGCATTATGCTAAAACATTAAATGCATTATCTGTTATTACCTCTCTAAATAGGGATATTATTTTCATTTTACAGGTAAGAAAAACGAAGCTCAAAAAGATGTCATGTGCTCTGGTTCTGTCCATATTGGGTAAAGTTGGTGACTATTTCCCCCTTCAATGTCCCAAATTCACACATAGACTACTCCTACCAATCTGGTCCTGTGGCTAGGATGCAGTCCCAGTAAAGAGGTTCCTTAAGAGGAGGGAGAGAGCTGTCCCTATTTTTTTTCTCTTGAATGCCAATAAAATATACATATTACACATCTTGATATTATACACAG